ATGTTATATTTATAATTATATATATATATATATATATATATATATATATGCATCACCCGTTTCCATGATTTTCTCACTGAAAACAGCGTGATGTCGCAGAACCAGCACAGTGTCCCACAGCAACCTCGACCCTCCGGTGGACATGTGACAGCGAGAGTGGTAAATTTGAATTCCGATAGGCTCTGCGTAAGCCCCAAGCGAGATCACAAGTCTGAAAACTATGAGGACCTTCAACTGGATTTCAATCCTCACGTCTTCGGCTCACTGGAGCAGTATTTGCCTCCTCACGTCCTCAACCTGTCACGTGAGGTTAAGGTTCGGTATATGAGGAACATTCTGCTTCGCTATTTCCCCGAGAATGACCGCAATCGGGTGGGTGTCACTGTCACCATAACAATTATAGTGCCCCCACATACGGTGCCCTTTATGTTTTTTCAATCAAAATTTCATTTTTATTTTACCCTCGATCGAAGGTCTCGTTTGTTTGTGTTGCCTTGTTGGTGCCTGGCCTTCTTTGATGTTTTGTTTCAGAAAGCCTTGTTTTTTTTTTTCCTATTTGGAAATCGGGAGAATAGGAATTTAGGTTGTTTCAGAAAGCCTTGTTTAATTTTGCTTCGCTTGATTGTTGGCAAACAATTTAGATGATTCTGTACTTTAGACTGCTGCGATACATGATTTGAAGATGGCTATGTCTGTTTGATTAACAAGTTGGTCTTTCTTTCAATTTATGGTTCCAAATCATTCTTGTATTAGTCTTGAATCGATAGTTCTTGGAATAATGCCATTCTTATATTTTATTGGCGAGCTGTCTTGCTTGTTGGAACTGGCAGTACTCCCTTGTGCCTGTTCTGAAAATGATACATCTGCTATGCATGGTAACTGGTTTTACAGAAGCTTAACTTTCTCTAGTCTGGAAGTCTAAATAATATGGATTTCTGTCCGCAGTTGTGTTAGAAGATATCATGACATGTGCTATTTGGTTTCTGGCATTACAAATTTACTAGTTAGCCTAAAAAGGTGATGATAGGTGAACATGGTATTTGTTTGTTTTGTTTATATCGAGTTATTCTTGGGATGGCAGAGGAGAGGTGTTTCTTTTGTTCTTTAGTGTTATTTTTTTCTCTGGCTTGGTTTTATCGTTCACTCTTTGATTTTTTGTTATTTTATGTTGGATTGAACAGATTCAAAAGCTGAGGGAGTACAGGCTGAAGATCATATTAAATTATCCAGTAAGTTTTCAATGGATATGGAAATGACATCATTGGTGAATTGAATATTTTTATGGTTTCTTTTTGTGATTCTTTCTAAAATTGTGGGAGCAATTTATACTACACTTTGAACAGGTGAGATATTTTATTTGGTACTTGTCTGTGAGAATTTTGAATGAGCATGTCATTAGAAATTTCTCCACGAAAACAGTTATACTTTCTCGTTTCTGTATGTAGCATGAATTTTCAATATTGCTCGATCTTACTGGTTATTGACTTTCTTATAGCCATTACATAGGGAGATATATACTATGGATGCTGAGAACTTTTTCACGCCATCATTTCTCAGAGCAATTAAAGAAAACACCGAAGCAAGTTTTAGAAGTATAATGGCTGAACCTAGTGCAGGAATTTATACATTTGAAATGCTTCAACCCCAATTTTGTAAAAAACTGATGTCTGAGGTATCACATTTCTTTCCTTTTCATGCTATATAATTTTATCCATGTTACTATTTCATGTTCTTATCAAGTTCTGATTAATTAGGTGGATAGTTTTGAAAGATGGGTTCGTGGTACCAAACTCAGAATCATGCGCCCTAGTACTATGAATAAACATGGTGTTGTTCTAGAAGATTTTGGGCTGGAAACCATGCTTGACAGATTTATGAGTGATATCATACATCCCATATCACGAGGTTTTTTTGTTTATTTTTCTTAACGAGAATAAATTAGAAAATGACGACTGAGATGAGGAAACTGATATAATGACGTGGATTCACTTTTGCAATTTGAACGTTTTTTTTGTAGTTTTCTACAGTGAATTTGGTGGATCCTCGCTGGACTCTCACCACGGTTTTGTTGTTGAATACGGAATCAGTAAAGACCTTGAACTTGGTAGGTTTCTCCAACTTGTTGAATTTGGTCGCTGCTTTGTAGATGCAATCTGTAATATTTTTTTGAACCTAATCGGAGTTTAATGTTTCAAGCATGTCTATATATGTTTTTATGCTATTCTTCTCTAATCATACACATGATGGAATATGCGTTTATTTACCTGGAATCTTATAGATTTTGATTCTTGTATGACTATAACTAAAGGATATGAAGAAAAAGTGCATTAGATTTTTCAGATTGTCTCAAATACTGAGATATTTAGTTTTGTTACCTTGTTAGCAGTTAGAATATTTAACCTATTTATCATGATTATATTGTGTCTAGGATTTGATTATAGTGTGTTTAAGGTTACCCATGATTACATTGTGTACAATAGGATACCTAATCCTCCAATGGTCGACCGGTAACTCGGGCGACCTGGTGACAGTTAAACCAATAAGAGGCCTTCTTAAAGATCGTAATACTGTGCGATCGCGTATTGTCGTCAACCAATTGGTCCTCGACAACCAAATAGTGATGTCGCGACATAACGTTCGCACAACGCACGACAAGTCGCCTATTCATGTCGACGCACAGGATGGTCGACATACAGAGCGCTATATCGTAGCATGCGGTTACAGAAGTAGCCTATTCATGTCGACGCACAGGATGGTCGACATACAGAGCGCGATATCGTAGCATGCGGTTACAGATAAGCAGTTACGCATAATCAGCTAACCAACGCCGCGAATCACGGAAGTAATTGACTCAGTTATCAGCACCGTCTAGCAGTTACACTTCTACACAGTCACTTCAATAACGACCGGATTGTCAGGTAACGGTTTATTTTACTGTTTTAAAACACAGAGCACACCAGAAAAAAAGGTACGTTTTTTCCCCTTTAGAAATTAAGAGAGAGAAATACTCTTCTTTCTTGATCACTTTGAACCAAAAGATTCAGGTGAACCCTTTCTGACTTGAGCGTCGGAGTGCCTTTGCAGGTACCCAGCCCACCTTTTTCCAAGGAACAGAACATAAAGAGAGGAAGGAAGCATTGTGACAGACAACGTAAAGAGAAGCAGTTCAGTTTTGTTAGGTTTGTATCTCCCTCCACATCCCTACTGAAACATTTTGGCGCCCACCGTGGGGTCCGAGATTTAACATCCCAATACGACCCACGTCGCTATGGAAGACTTCAACACTCGTGATTTAATCCAGCAACTACAAACTCAGATCGAGGCACAAGCACAAACTATACGGGAGCATGCAGGAACTCCAGAGCAAGCAGGCGGAGGAGCTGGCGGCACTGAGGGCGCAACGCCCACGCCAGAGAGTCTGCCTCTAATCGGCAGGGTAATAATGGATCGAGTCACCATGGAGGACCATCTCACCCTTCTGGTGGGGGGAGGAAAGGGCCTACTTCCATGCGC